TTTAATTTTAGGTATTTTCTTCCCACTTCACAGTATCTATTATACATTTTGAGTCTTGTTTACTCTTTCAGCTTCTTACCCTAGGGAGACAATACAATGTTTATACATGCAAGACTGATTTACTTCACTTACAAGTATGGACTCAAGTCACATCTATTTTCCTATAAATGTCTCATGTTTACTCTTCTTTATAGCTGAGGAGTACTCCATTTATAAAAATGCCACATCTTTTTTATCCATCCCTTAGTTGGTGGACATTTGGGCTGTTTCCAAGATCTGGCTCTGACAAACTGTGCTCTTGTAAACATGGGTGCACATATATCACTGTGGTATAATGTTTTTAATTCTTCTGGGCAAATATCCAGAAGGGAACTAGATGAGTTAATTTGGACCTATAACCCTAGTTTTTTGAGGAATCTCCACACTGATTTCTGAAGTGGTTTAACCAGTTTACATTGCCACCAACAATGGAAATTAGTTCCTCATTCCCCACAGCCCCTCCAGCATTAGCTGTTGGTTGATTTCTTGATGATAACCATTTTTACTGTGGTGAGATGAAATTTCATTGTTTTAATTTTCATCTCTTGAATGGCCAATGATATTGAATAATATTTCATATATTTATTTGCTGTTTGTATTTCTTCATCTGATAAGTGCATATTTGTCTCAAATACCCATTTTTTAATTGGGTCTTTGAATGTTAGGGGGTTTTCCAGTTCTTTTCAATTCCTTATATATTCTAGACATAAGTCCTTTGTCCCAGGGACACTTGGCTAAATTTTTCCCCCACTCTGTATGTTGCTTTTGCACTCTATTTGTGATTTCTTTTGATGTACAAGAGCATTTTAATGGGATGAGATCCCAGTTGTTGATTCTTTGATGTGTTTCCCATGCAGTTTGGGTTTTGTTCAGAAAGTCTCTGCCTACATCTTGGTCTTCAAGATTTCTACTTTCTTTTAACCTATTTTTCCTCCAGTAGATTTAGTGTTTCTGTTTTAATATTTAGATCTTTTATCCATTTTTATTCTATTTTAGTGTATGGTGATAGACATCAGTCTAGTTTTAGTCTTCAGCATATCGAGATCCAATTTTTCTAGCACCATTTATTAAAGAGGTTATCTTTCGTTCCAGTGAACATGTTTGGCTCCTTTCTCAAAGGTAAGTGGCTGAGTGCGTTTGTAGTTGTGTCCTCATTTTCTAATCTGTTCTGTTGGATCTCAGGTCTATTTTGTTGCCAATACCGTGCTGATTTTATCATAGTAGCATTGGCATATAATTTCACGTCAGGGATTGTGATGCTTCCTTCCTTGTCTTTGTTGCCCAGGATTGACCTTGCTATTCTAGGTCTCTTCTAGTTCTAGGTGAATTTTAAGAATGTTTTCTCTATTTTTGTGAGGTATGCTAATAATATTTTGATCAGGATTGCATTCAATCTATATAACAAATTTGGGAGTATGGCCATGAACAAGGGGTAGTTTTCCATTTTCTGATAGCCTCTTTGATATCCCTTTTTGAAGAACAGTGATTTCTAATGTATAAATATTTTACTTCCTTTGTTAGATTGATTCTGAAGTTTTTCTTTTTCTTTTTCTTTTCTTTCTTTTTTTTTTGATGCTATTCTGAAGGGGTGTGGTTTCTCTCATTTTTCTCTCAAAGAGTTTATTGTTTGAGTACAAGAATTCTACTGATTTTTGAGTATTGACTTTTTATACAGTCATGCAACTGAGTTTGGTTATTAACTCTAGGAATCTTTTGGTGGAGTTTGGGGCTGTTATATGGAGAGTATCATGTCATCTGTGAATAATGATAATTTCGCTTCTTTCTTTCCTATCCTTATTCCTTTTATTTCTCTTTCTTATCTAATTGCTCTGGCTAATGTTTCCAGGACCATGTTGAAACAGATTGGCAATAGTGGGCATCTTTGTCTTGTTCCTGATTTTAAAGTGGAAGTTTTCAGTTTTTATCCATTTAGTATGATGTTGGCTGTTGGTTTGTCAAAGATAGTTTGGTAAAGCAGATGGAGGCAAAATCATTTATTCTAATTTTCTGTAGTTTTTAATCATGAATGAGTGCTGGGCTTTATCAAAAGTTTTTTCTGCATCTATTGAGATAATCATGTAATTGTAGTCTCTGGCTCTGTTGATGTGTTGTATTACATTTACTGATTTGCATATGTTGAACCATCCTCCATTACTGGAATAAATCCCAACTGGTCATGGTGTATAATCTTCTTCATAATTTGTTGAATTCTGTTTGCTAGTATCTTATTGAGGATTTTTTTCATCTATGTTCATAAGGGAGATTGGACTGTAGTGCCCTTTTTGTCTGGGTCGTTCTCTGGTTTTGGTATCAGTGTAATAATTGACTTCAGGAATTCATTAAAGTTAGTGTCCTCGAGAGACGACCTGGGGCCTCGGGATCCTGAACAGACCCAGAGCGCAGGCCTGGCGAGTGAGAGAGATGACCTGGGCCCTCGGATCCCGAATAGGCCCAGAGCGCAGGCCTGGCGAGTGAGTGAGATGACCTGGGGCCTCGGGATCCTGAAAAGACCCAGAGCGCAGGCCTGGCAAGTGAGAGAGATGACCTGGGCTGCAGGATCCTGAACAGACCCAGAGCGCAGGGATTGTGATGCCTGGCAAAGTAAGATGACCTGGGGCC